TGGGTGTGTGGGTGTGGGGTGTGTGTGTGTGTGTGTATTTTGCTACATTTTAGACCTATTCGAGTTATCAAAGAGTGCTAATGTCTGTTCGCCCTCTCACTGGCGAATGGTGTTCATACTTTTTAGGACAAAATATGAACCTTGTATCTTGTATTGCCTACCGGTATCTTAAGTCGTGTACTACTTAATTTTCAGAAGAACATGGTTTTCTTCAAGAAACTTGTTACACCGTTTAATATATAATTCTGTTATTGACAACACATGAATTCAAAGTGATCTTGGCAATTATATATTTTAAATATGAGAATAATAGCCTCTTCATTGAGTAGTAGGCCTATTTAAGTGTTTTCGTTTAAACAGGCAATGATGCAAAATACGTTATTATAGTCTCTCTCCAATCCTTAATTAACTCAATTGTTATCCGTCTGGTCAGGCTTTTGTTATTTTACAGTGTGACCATCCTCTTTTTAGATAGTTCATTTAAAATTTTGGATCGTTTAGCCTAGGCGAGCCTGTCCAGGACTATTATTAAGACTAGCTGATTTCATGTTCGTGTTCATTAAGATCTCCAATAGACCTACTACCAAAATATGACATGAAGGATTCATTTATAAATTTTGGTTGCGAAGGAGTGAATTTGTTCATAAATAAAAAATAAATTTAATTGTTATTCTTCTTTTTAAATTTTAAGTTCTGTCAAAAAATCTTTCTCTGTCATATTATACTGCGCTTTAAATATATTGACACTCGTTTCGTTTTAATCATGGTCAGCACATCCGTATTATAGTCTTCACCTAGTATGATTACCTACAATAAGGTATAAACTGAGTTGAATATTAATAGAAGCGCTTAGTGAATCAGTTGAATAGACTCACAATGCAACTTAAGGGATTTAATACATTTTTTTTTTGGAAAAAAGAGATACTAGACAATAATCCATTTTAACCGCCTACACGGAACTGTCATGGAGAACGGAACCAAACAATTTACAGTGTAGGCCAAATAATTCCATTAATGACATCATTGTTCGTGTAGGCTTGTGTTCACACTTTATTGATGCTTTTCAAACCGACTAAATAAGAAACATAAGGATAGGATCTATATTGTTCTGCGCCAAGTTCATTTCGATAGTGCTGTTGTAAGTGTTGTAAGTCTATTCTGGTTATTCGGACTGTAAGCCTATTATAGTAAGGAGAATGTGCCTAACGGTTCGGGTACTTTTTAACTGCATGTTCCTTTGTGTAGGCGATTTTTACTTGATGCTGTGGAAGAAATTAACTTCATTCCTGGATTTATTCAGTTGTTTAAGTCTCGATATTGTAAGTAGGCATATTATTATTTTAGTAGGCCATAGTATGCGTACATGTTAGGCCCTTATACAATCATGATATATTACGCTGTATATACACTGTAAAGACAGTGGAGGATTTAAACGCAAATTTTGTGTTGTCTTTGTGGACACTGTTTTAAAAGCTAAACGTGTTAGGCCCTGCCTAATGTTTCTGACGTGTTTAGAATTGAAAGTGCTTATGGTATTTGACAGGATCTAAAAATAATACATAAGCACATGTAATTTTAAATACGTCAAGATTCTAAGCAAAGCTTTTAAACGTGTCACCAAAGACAGAACAAAATTGTGTGGATTTTGTGTTCAAATCCTCCACGCTGCTTTTACAGTAATGTCTTACTCTGATTATATTTTAATTACAAAAGAATTCCGGAGTTTCCCCCTAATATCGGCGTATTCCAAACATCTTTGGTTAATTATTTATCAGAATCAGATAACCAATATTGAAGGCACAGAAGATTTCTTCATGCTCCCCGGATGATAAGAATGCATTATCATCTTTTTGCTTTTTCTGAAATGATATACTTAATATCAAATACAGTACCAGGATGGCCTTATTTAACCAATATTTATAAACAAGGAAGATTTTTGATAAATTAAAATATCTTACTCTCTTTGAGAGAAGTAAAGCATGAGAATAGAATCCACTCTGGTTAGGGTGAAGTTCCAAAGGCGAAATCCAAATCAAGTTAGAGGTGGTATCACACTGGATGATTAGATATGGTTTTGCCATTATCATCATCTTATTTGTTTATTTCAATGTCATTAATCAATTCAATTCAATTCTTTTATTTCAGACAATTAATATTTACTTATTTTTATTTATTTACTAATATCTTTAGCCAGGATGACACAATCATTTTAAAGAAATGTTTTTCATTATGGTCCTGGAAAAACAAAAATAATATTATTAATAATGATAATAACAATCATAATAACAATAATAATAAACAACAACAAAATAATAATGATAAACAAAACACAAAAGAACACACCCAGAGTCAGGCATTAATAATCATAATCATCAGTGCAATTTTTTTTCTTTCCCTTTTCATTCTTTTTTTTCCCTCCATTTCCTCCTCAGAAATCACGAAAATGGCATACGCGCGCCCCCGCTTTTGAGATGTCGCCGCCATCACTACCGTATATTCATATAATACAAAACAGAACAAGGCAAGAGAAAAAAGATCAAACAGATTGAACAGCGCACAAAAAAAAAAAAATATTGCCAAATTCTTATTTTGTTTCTTTCGATGTCATTATCATCACCTCATTTTTTTTCAATGTCATTAGCATAATTTAATTTTGTTACAAGTTCTTTTTCTTTTTTTTTCTCAACCAATCTTTCTGTCCTGTTTCATCCTATTCATTCCACTGTATTCTTTTATTAATATCTGTTCTTGCCATTTATTGCAGTTTAACCTAACTGATGACTAGCATATGCAACAAGATGTGCATTCAAATTTGCAATCAGAATGACTCCATCTTGCCGATTCACCATCGACCATGGCCGAAATACTTCGACAATTTCAGGACTGTAATGTTAAAGTGATGACGCCTCGCTGCAAACGTATTTATTGGAAACCAAAAAACCCGGATCCTCGTTTGTTGCCGTAGATAAATGAACACATACATTTTTTGTGATTGGTGTGAACTCAGGCGCCCTCAACTTACTAGTGGAAGATGGATTTTTATATGACTAATTTGTATATTAAAATGTATAGGCCTACCAGTATTTATTTAGCCTGGCAATGTAATTTGGTATTATGACCACAGTATGTCCTAACCTCAACTTCCATAGACCAACATTTTTTTTCAAATGGTAGATTCAGTACTAACACAGGATTATATTCTTTGTCCGAATAAAGTTGATATGTAGAGAGGCATACTCACACACTGATTATGAAGGTGGAAGGAGTCACCGAAAGTAACACTAAATAAATCTCCGAGTCGAATATCGATTACCGGTATTCTGTTGTATCATTTATCTACCTATTTCTACGATCAAGAGTTAGCATTGATGCAATATGAATACTGTACAGTATAGTGTCTGTCTCTTATACACATCTAGATGTGTATAAGAGACAGGCACAGAAGATTTCTTCATGCTCCCCGGATGATAAGAATGCATTATCATCTTTTTGCTTTTTCTGAAATGATATACTTAATATCAAATACAGTACCAGGATGACCTTATTTAACCAATATTTATAAACAAGGAAGATTTTTGATAAATTAAAATATCTTACTCTCTTTGAGAGAAGTAAAGCATGAGAATAGAATCCACTCTGGTTAGGGTGAAGTTCCAAAGGCGAAATCCAAATCAAGTTAGAGGTGGTATCACACTGGATGATTAGATATGGTTTTGCCATTATCATCATCTTATTTGTTTATTTCAATGTCATTAATCAATTCAATTCAATTCTTTTATTTCAGACAATTAATATTTACTTATTTTTATTTATTTACTAATATCTTTAGCCAGGATGACACAATCATTTTAAAGAAATGTTTTTCATTATGGTCCTGGAAAAACAAAAATAATATTATTAATAATGATAATAACAATCATAATAACAATAATAATAAACAACAACAAAATAATAATGATAAACAAAACACAAAAGAACACACCCAGAGTCAGGCATTAATAATCATAATCATCATTTCCAAACCCTTTTCCTACCCAATTCCACTTTTTTTTTTTTTCCTTTTTCATTCTTTTTTTCTTCCGCCCCCGCTTTTGAGATGTCGCCGCCATCAGACAAGTTGTTGAGTGTGACTTCTTTTAAAACAAAATCCAACACTTGGCATCATCAGGGGACCCACGTTGGAAGAAGCCACTTCCAATAAATTGGTTAGGTGGTGATACCCATCGCCAGTTGATTTGCAGAAGACAAAGTCACTAGCAAAAACACACAAACATCATGATTTTTGGGGGAAATGGGTTAGTTCCCACTGTATATACAATGCTGTAGGAGACTCATAGGAGCCTTAGGACCACTGTTTCATTGTATCTGCGAATTCAGCAGTAGAATGAAGCTGGAAGCTAGTCCAGACGGGTCAAACCATACACTCAAGACCTTATATATGCCAAATCAATAATTATACTTTAAAACCACATGCATATATTTTACAACATGTGTGTATAAGAAATAAAATGCACTTAACCTTATTATAATACATGGGAGACAGCCATGATGATTAACAAGGTCAGAAGCTTTAGCTTGGTTTTGGGTTACAATTCCGTAACCATATTTTTCTCTTTCAACAGACAAAAACCCCTCTGACCTATTTGCTGTGATAGTGATTCAGATCCTTTTGTGATTAAAAGAACTTAACCTTCAATAAACTTTACACATTTTTTAAACTCAATGCACACTTAAGTACCATTAACCTCTCTTACAGTAATGGCAGGCTCAATGATCATTGCTGAAGGCATATTTTGATGAACAATAGCAGATGTACTATTGTTCGCAGTGCATTGTTACTTCAGAGTTCTTGATTTTTAAGGCATACTGTATAATACTGCAACATTCTTTTCCATATCACAGTTCACTGATATGTTTATATGCCTTACTGTAACCTTTTATATTGCCAATGTGGTTGATAAATTTTTGAGAAGGCTTATTGCTAGGATAAAATTTGCCATAAATTAACGATAGTACAGTCGGATACAACTTGACATACACTTTTAAGACTATGGGATTTTTAACCCATGGTTTTACAAGTATTATTTTTCATAATTACAACACAAGATCTTGAATTGATTTCAATCAAATAAATTTTGAAAAACAGATTCCTTTTTATGAAATAAAGGGGTCATTGTTTGGTCCTATATTATATGAAAAAATAACACTTAGATTCATTATCTAATACAATATAGGACATCTGACTGAAAGGTTAATACACTCATCATTAATATAAATTCATTTTTTACTTTGACCTGAGAGACTATTTTAGCAGGGAAGTAGCCACCCGATGTAGTTTTTAAATCTTTTACCATATTTCTATCAATTCAAATATATTTATTAAACACATAAAACTAAGAACAAGAACTTGCATGTAAATTGTTTCATCAAAGAAACTGAATTAAAATTTTTACGAACCATAGTAAATAGAGAACTGATTACTTCAGAAAGCTTAATAATCTCCTGCCCTCTTAATTAAGTTGACCACTTACCCACCCATTACTTTTGATTGTCAGTTACTGGTTCTAGCAAAGATATTTAGTTATAGGATTCGAGATGTTATGACTGTTCATTCTAAAATACTTGTAGGCCATAATGTTCGTGTCACAGCATTAGTAATTAGCTAAGTCCATGATTCACTCAGATGGAACACAGTGGGTCATGTTGATACACATAAAATTGATTGTTACTCTTCACTATGTCTACATACATCTAAATTGCACCTGTGACACATAGATTACTTGCTAGAACACATTATCAAACCCGGTTTGGTTATCAAACAGATTATCAAACCTAGTTTGGTCATCAAATAGGTTGTCAAACCTAATTTGGTTATCAAATAGGTTATTAAACCCAGTTTGGTTATCAAACAGGTTATCAAACCTTGATTTGGTTATTAAATATGTTATCAAACCCGGTTTGGTTATCAAATAGGTTATTAAACCTGATTTAGTTTACAAATAGGTTATCAAACCTGATTTGGATATCAAATAGGTTTTCAAACCTGACTGGTTATCAAATAGGTTATCAAACCCGGTGAGCCTTCAGCTTGTCAACCAAAACATTGAACGTCATCTGAAAAGTTAGAAAAGAATAAATTATAATTAATTTCAAATATAATTAAGGTGAATTAAATCAACATGCCTTTGCGCTATTATTATGTTCTACAAATTTTTGACCACTTTTAGCTTTAAGCAAGGATGAATGAGTGAGATTCAACAATGTACAGAGCTTTAACATTTGCATGTGTTCATTCACACAACAAACTGTTTTTTTTTTTTTTTTTAATGAATTTTGTTGGAGATTCTGTAATGATGCAACATTTTCTTTAAAACAAGGCGTAATTCTAAAGAACTATTCAACAAGAAACAATCCCCAGATCTTTTCCAGAATGTGTACTGCATTCTTTAAAACATACACATGGTCCATACAATTGCATACAGGACCAATGTTTCTTCCAAATGACAGTGCGCTGTTGTAATTTGCATTTCAGCCCTTCAGCTGAATCACAAAGAGAACAGAGATGGAATTGAACCAGAGGCTAAAGGTCACAAACAATCTCCATGGTTTAGTGCACACACAGTCATCACTGCCTATTTAGCCAATTGAGTTAAGCTGCCCTCTCATTAATTGAAGATGAGTAAACAACGTATTTTCAAATACAAGTCATTAAAACTGACCCATGTTTTTTTTCATTAATTATTTTATTCATTATAATATTAAATAGATTCAGGATGGTTATGGTACTTGGTGCTTGCCTCCTCTGAGCTCTAGTAGGACTCTCAGCCCCATTGTTTTGCTAACTGTGGTTAGAATCACAGTGGTATATGTGGCAAAGACAAGCCAAAGCAGTCACTCCTCGCAAAAACAAAAACAAAATCAATTTTTAGTTATTAGAACAGGGTTAAATGAAAGTTATAAAATGGTAAAAAAGTCAAACATTTTGTTCTGAAGTTATAGATGTTTAAACATACAGCTTTTTAAAGAACATTATTTAAGAAATCAGCCTTTAAAATTTACGATTTTGTAAATTTATCAGGCAGAGACCACCACCAAATTGTTTAAAAATGTTGTTCTAACGTCGAAAACAGGGAAAATAACTTTGCATGATGTACTGTATACTGTATACTGTAGAGGTTTGGCTTGTCTTTGCTACATATTATCAAGCTTATTAATGAGACTAAACAATCAGAAGTGTGCTCAGAGCTCAAATATCTGAAGAAAAACAAAAGTGTATGTGCAGAGCTGATATAAATAGAAGTGATGTTAATTTACCTGTACCATTAATCACTTGAATGATGGCAGATTTGGAAGCTGAATATTAGGTGTAGGAATGTTGGGTAAGTTAATGCTTTTGACAGCAGCAGCGGCTCGGGCTGGAGCAGCAGACAGGCCAGCCTATAGTGAGAGCAAATGCTACTATGTACTACACCACACCTCAAATATGAATATTCATGAGCATTTATACATGATTAAAATAGATGGAAAAATGAATGAACAAACAAATGAATGACTATAAGCTTTAACCTATATCATCATTTCTCAAAAAAAAAGAAATTGTTCTGCTCTATATTATATATAATTCGCTTTTATTTAACTGATTTATCCATCACCTGTTAGTTAAAAAGAGCAGTGCTGTGTTATATAATTAAATGTATTTACTTTACAACCCTTATGCATAGATTAATATAAAATCAAATATAATGAGAGGTGACACTCATTTTCTTATAATTTCTGGCTGTATTAATAAAATAGACTCAATGACAAACTTTTCTTATTAACTACCTACTACCCCCTACCCCAAACAAACACTTAATAATTCTAGATATGTTTGCTATAACTTTAAAAACTATATATCACAAAATATTTAAAAATGTGGGGAACTGAAGCCTTTCTCCAGAATCATCAGAACTTCTGTCCCAAATCTTTCCCCAGGACTGTAGCTGTAGAAAACTAAGGGTGGCTGATAGACACTTTAAGGGTGGGGTGGGTAATAACATTGGAAAACTCTAAATAATAAGAGTGGATTTTAAGGATGGAAAAATGAGTTAATAAGGGTGGGTAGAGGGCCATGAAATTAGCTTTAGACTGGGTGGAAAACTTCAAGGCTGGGTAGCCCTGCCCACATACGCCCACCATAACAACATCGCTGCTTCCCATAGGGCATCTACTGGGCATGTGATGTATTGTCACCTACCTCTTGCTTTTCCAGTTTGCTTTGCTCATCGATCCTCGTCAGGATTTCTGTCATATTGGTTTCTAATACCATACCACCCATCACAAGCTCAGATAAAATGTAGTGCACCTAATGGGAATATGGAATGAAAAAAATACAGTATGTGTGATATGAGGTATCTAAGGCAGAAGTAGAGTAACACAGTTCCAGTAAACATTTAATTTTCATCACACATATGACTTCACATGCAGCAATGCCAACCATAAGTAACTTGTTACAAATAGTCATTTTTTAGATGACAAGATTTTTTTGAACTTCCAAAATGGCACAAGACAACAACCGTGATATGACTACTGTTGAATCCATACATTTGTATTTTTATTAGAATATGGTTGTAAATATAAACAACCTTTATGCAGGCGAATAAATTACTGTAAAAAAATTTTTTTTTAGAACAAAATGTCTTAGAGTTACCCCACTCTATTATTCATAATAAACTCTCTGGAAATTACACAAGTCGGGTTTGATGTTCCGTTACATTCAGGGTATGTTCTGCTAAAAGAAACCATGCAGATATGCCTACAATGTATCACACATAAATCGCAAGCATAGCATTTTTCAAATTTTAAGGATTCAGACAGAACTCCCATTTCGCTGTTGTTTCAGAGTGTCCTAAATGTAATGTGTCATCCTTCCCACGCCCAATCACTGTTGGTTGAAATAATCTTGATAACAATTTAAAATAAAAGGTAAAGCCAATCAAAAGAAGGTCCTCCTAGATAACTTTGATAACAAAAACCGAATAAATGCGCATAACAACAAGAACAAGGTCAATGACTCATTAGAAACACAAGTTCAGCAAAGTTACTGAATAGCCTTTGGAATGGCACACGCTTGTCAAGGGAAGCCGCAACTTAAAGCTTATCATCTATAAAAACAATTCAAGTGGAACTTCTTAATCTCTAAAATATAATCTGTTGTAAAGGAATTCGATAATCCCAAAGGTTTATAGAATTGCATTGAATTGAATGATTATGGGTTTAATAGGCTTCAATTTTTTTTTTAATCACAAGGAACTTAAAAGTTTATTATTAAATTATTTATCTTTGTATATTTTAAGTTTAGCTTTCAATTTACAAATTAAAAAAAGAAAATTTTTTATTGTATTGACAATTAACAAAAATCCATAAATTTTACCATTCCAAAATTGTTGGGTAAGTTCACATATTTTGAAGGAATATTAAGTTTGAATACCAATTGGAACTATTTTTATTTGCACAGACTTGGTAATCTCTAGTATGTAACATGTAAACTCAGTGTCTGCAGCTAAGGTGATTCCATTAAAATGCAATGTAAAAAATGTGTCACGTAAAGGTTTTAACCAACATGGTTACTGTTCCATCAGAAAGTGTTGATCTTACAGATGCAGTGTGGGCAAACTTTGGAATATAATCCAAAATAACATGTATTCTGAAACTATAACAAAAAATGTTACAGCACTGTGCTCAAACCTACCTTGTCAATGTGGAATATCAGATCTAATTCACAGACATTCTCAAAGCATTTATCTAATGTTTCAACAAAAACCTGAAACAATGAATAGAAATAAATTCATTTAATTTATAAAATATATTAATTTTATCAATAAGTACAGTAAGTGTAAACAAAATCCATACAATATTACAGGTTGTATGATGGTTTGTATAAATGATGTGACCTTTGACATATTCATGTACACTTAAAACCACCAGGGCTTATTGTGAATGGCCCACATATATCATCCTTCTGCCTATTAAAAATTTTAAGATCCTGAGCTCACGCCCTGATATTTTTTAGCCTTAATTATAATAGCAAAATACAAGCAACTAAGTCGACTTTGCCTAACTCCAATAATTTTTAATTCGATTTTATTATACATGACAAACTTATTGTGTTTTCTATTAATTAAGGATCTGTAAGTCAAATTTTATTTAAGTCAAACAATTTTTCAATGCCATTTTGGATTCGACTTAAGCAAGTTACTGCAATTTTTTGCATTAAACACTCGTACTGAAGTTAAATTAGAAACGTTAGATGTTAGATTAAAATCTTGAAATTGTGAGCACTGTATGGTTTTAATAAAAAAAATTGACAAGATAAATACAGGCCCATTATTTTCTGGCAGGGCTGGAAAAAATCTTGCATGAAAATTTGTTGTTTGTATTAAGCAACAAGTTTTGTATAACAAAAATAGTTTACCTGTATAAGATCAAGAATACCAAGCTCACTTTCTGAGGAATCAACACAGAACACAAAGTACAGCGTAGCATAGTGCCTGTACACAATCTTGTAATCAGAACCACCAATCAAACTAAATACGTAAAAAAGAGAAAGATATTTTCAAAAAGTTTTTTGGACTTATCTACCCCCTTGGATTTACAAAGCGCTATACACCATTTTAGCTAAATTTTAAATGAAAATGTCAGATAACCTAGCAACTACCACTAGGGGACATCCAGAGGCCTGGGCATCTCACTCTACGTAGTTACCGGTGTGTGTGTTTACCGGTGTGTGTGTGTGTGTGTGCGGTGTTCTTTTTGCTACTAGCTATCTACTCAGACTAGGCTACTGGATGTCCCCAGTGAGAAGTTGCAAGACGTTGGTGGCGCTGTTTCAAGATAGACCCGATAAAATTGCAAAATCTCCGCAGAAATTGGCCCTTATTTTCTGAAATGTTCGGACAGATTTCTAGGCCTAATTTTTGTGGAGGATACATTCCAGGCGCAGACCTTACATTACAGTCTGGGATTTGTTCTACCATTGAGCCTGTATTTGAAATTGATGCATATTCAAAAATTGTTTATTTTTTAATTTTTGTAGTTGCTGCAATAATCTTTATTTTTATATTATTACTTAAAATAACTTACGATCCAGCTTCGAGGAAATTACAGACATTATCATCTCGTTTAGACACCAAGTGGAAAGTCTCCCGGATAAACTGTTGTTGCATATCTTCATTCTAAATATAAAATAAAAACAAATAAAAATTTTTGTTTTTGTGATAATAGCACCTTAATTAATACTTAAATAGCCTTCTATGTTGTCACAAGACTGGACTCTTGAAAGAGTGGCTAATACTGCAGAGATGCCTTCAACCGTACATCATTGCAGTTACCTGTTACTGGCCTACCCTACTTATTCATAGTCTGTATCTAGAAAGGTGAGCAAGAAAAAAGAGGAGGGTAGGGGTGAGGTGGGGGATAGGGAGGGATTAGTAAAATGTTTGCTATGCAGAAAATTCTTTTTCTCTCAGAAAAATTGTGCTAAAGTCAAATAAAAATAGAACACTATTCCGGCAGAAGATATCATCTCGGATTGAATCCAAAAATTGAGATTCATTCTCAGCTCCATCCTGAGAAGACTTGAGTTTTGAAGAATTGCTTGGATAACTTTTGGAGAGTTTAAGATATGGTTAAAAACCTAAAACTTACCCACATATTTAATCTAATCTAGGCCAGGCCTAGGTACAGGGTAAACTGGTGTAGACAGCTAGGCCTAGGCTAGGCCCCTTACTAGGCTTAGCTAGGACGCCTTTCAGTCTTTTAGCGGTCGCCCGTTAGGCGTAGGCTAGGCCTAACCTAAGGATTTACTCAATGTAATGCCTTATGAGAGGATCAAATAAATGAAATTATTATTTTATATAAACATCATACTCACAAAATAAGTGTAGAATTTTGAAAGCCGTGGTTTCCCATGGTTATTAAATACTAAAATTGCCTTTATCATTTTGATACCCAACTGGTCTCTTTTTTTCGCACAAAATAACGCCCTCTTTTGGAAACAAGTTAATAATCGATCGATCGGCCAAATGAACTCTGACCTATGGTAATTAAACTGTACTAGTAGTATTATACGGCACTCTCTAAACAGTAAAAATTGTTCTGTAAAAAAGTACCGTACCGTACTCGCGCGAATAAGCGCCCGGGCGCTTAAAATATTATTGACTTGCTAAAAAGAAAATATTATTTTGGGCGCTTATTCAAATTAGAAGGGGCGCTAATTCAAACGGGGCGCTTAAGGAAATTTTCACGTTAGGAGGGCGGTTATTCAAACGGGGCACTTATTCGCGCGAGTACGGGGCTCGCGCGAATAACCGCCCCTCCTAACATGAAAATCCTTAAGCGCCCCGTTTGAATAAGCACCCTTCAATAATATCATAGGATTTTCTTTTTAGCAAGTCAATAATCCAATGAATTCTGGGACCGTGGGTGTTGGCATGATTTGAGCTGCAGAGAGGAAACACCTGTCTCTTATACACATCTGATGCCTTCAACCGTTAACATATATGATATATATATATATATATATATAGTATATATAATATATATATATAGTATATATGATATATATATAGTATATATGATATACATATAGTATATATGATATATATATATATATATATAAGGTAAAGAACAGGAATATATATATATATATATATAAGGTAAAGAACAGGAAAAAAATGCCCTAACCCGGATTCAAACTCTGCATAGACAGCAGAAGACGCGTCCCGCATGGGCAATTTTCCCCAGGTGTACATTTCGATACTTGGAGTATGTATTATACTATCTTAATAATAATAATAACTTTATTGAATCGTACTCTTTTATGTCAGTGGCACACACTATCAAGTGGTGCGTTCACAATAAAAACATTCAAACAATACAGAACGTTAAAACCGTTACACAAAAGCACAGTATAGTAAGAAACACGTAGGCCTACAATACAAGAAAAACAGTAAAATGACAATTATTTAAGTTCAAGTTAGCATTGAAAAGAGCGTTAAAATAATAAAATTTCAAATTATGGCAGAAAAATGTTTGAATTATTTGTTTAAAAGACGAATATGCACACCAGATAAAAGAGTAATTACTGTTTAAATTTTTAAAAGTCTTTTAAAATATAAGTGCAGGTATTTAAATAAATTAAAAGTTTTGAGCAGTTAAAAATAGATAAAATACATTTAAAATATATAAAATTTATAAGAATTATTTTGTTTTTACATTCGCTAAAATTTCCCCTCTTGCTTTCCATGCTCTTTTTAAAAAGGACTTACATGCCATATCAAAAATATTATTGGTTGTTTCGTTTTGTTCATATTCTGCATATATATTGTCGCTGCCTAGTAACATATTCAGTTTTGTATTTAGATAACTACTAATAAAGTAGTTCCAAATATCTTGGTGGTTTGTTTTATACAATTCATTTTCAAGCTTCTTTAACACATCAACTCTTATATTGGTAACTATAGTGTTTCTACAAGTGAATAAAAAATGGTTTAAATCTTCGATTTCTGATTTGCACAAAGGGCATATCTCGTCCATGTCATCGCTCCACTTAGATACTCTGCCATTGAGTTGCAAAGTGTTAGAACGTGCTTTAAATTTTAGATTTGCACCTTTAAAATCAATCTTATCAAGTAGATATTTCTCTATGCCTCCATAAAGAAAAGTAATACCTTGAAACGATTTAATTTGCAGATAGGTAGTTAATGATGGTTTGTTCATTGCACTTTCAAATAAGCTGTGTTTATCTAGGTCTTTAATCTAAGACTCATTGACATTGCTATTTTCAATATCATCAATTTCTAAGTTTTCAATATATAATTACCGTTTGAAAAAATTGCTTTAATTTGTTTTAACCAACTCCATTTAACACGTTTTTCTCCAGCTTTTTTAAAAATCTAGTGCTTTTCGTGACCATCGATCGGTTTCAAGGTTTACAAGTCTTTTTACAAATTTCATACGTTGGCAGTTTTGCATAGCCTCAAGAGTTTGCCATCCTAATTCTGCATACAAAACCTCTTTGCTTGTGTATCTTGGCGCCCTAAGTATAAATCTGGCCATATTTATCTGTAAATATTATCTGAGATTAATCAGTGGACCTTTCGGTTTTGACATGAAACAAGTGAATAGATATTCGTGTACACCTGACGAAGCCAGATTTGGCTGCTGGCGAAAGCTTGTGTAATAAATACAGTAATTAAAGTTGTCTATAAAGTGCTACCAGTGTTTTTATTTCATACGTCTACCGAACTAACATAACTCCATCTACTATATTATATAAAGAACAATTATAAAAATAAACTAGGTTTAAACTCGTCACTGAGGACGAGTTAGGTGATTCGCTTGTCAGGCAAAAGAAATCTCGCAGTGCTTAAAAGTGAAATATGGAAAAATACTGTAGCCAGAATTTTCAAACTGTGTATGAAAATATCAGGTCTGCCGCCCTCTCTCGGCATTATCAAAGATTTAAAGAAAGAGGTGGGGAGGTTAGAAAAACATTCATTTTGACCATGATGACGTCATTAAAGTAAAAAATGATTGAAACATTGTGAAAGGAAAATTATAAAAAAAAAAAATGTTTATTCATGAAACAAATTTATAATCATACCAGTACTTCAGGGGCGGATTCAGAGAGGGGCGGATTCAGAGAGGGGCGGATTCAGAGAGGGGCGGATTCAGAGATGGCCGAATAGAGGGGCCGAAAGTAGGACCTATCGAGATTACCACTATCCTCGGAGATTTTTGTTTTATTATAGACGCCCAAAAATAACCTCTTTCTTTTTCTTTCTTTCTTTTCTTTTTTTAACCTTCCAAAAGGTAAAAAATTATCTACTCATTTCATGCTTCATTATCAATTAAATGTATATTTGTCGATTACGTCCTGAGTCACTATGGAGGTCTAGATATGTACAGGTTATTGATTGATTAACATATATAATATTAATTAACATTCATCAGCGCTGTATAGCTATAAAACTTTATTATATCAGGTTAAAAATTAAATTTTAAATTAACTGTTTCCTGGTTATTTTTTATAAAGTACGGAGACCTTATTGTCCAAGAGCAGTTTGTTCATTCACGCTAAAGAAGGTTAATAATTATAAGGACGACAAATTCTTGTACGAATAAATGACACTGTCTTTAAAAAAAACAAAAAAACGCCAATATATAAAAGCTTTCTTCTTTGTTTGGCTTCTTCTGGTTGTTCACAACATGGCGGTATAAAAATTTATACCTCCATGTTCACAATCACAAAAGCAGCCATGAAAGCCTGATGTCAATCAAGGTCGGTCAGACATTTAGTGACTACAATTCATTTGTTGATTTCTTTAAAGAAATTTCAGGACGAAAATAAACTTGTTGTAGAGTACTGTACAGTACATTCAACAATCTTTCGACAATTATCACAGCTCCCTATATATGGTCTCTGAGCGGTATGTGCTTTGTGTATATCATTAGGCCT